CTGAGCCAGGAACTGTGCTGGGGCTGGCTCCTGGGATCTCTGGAGCTGTGTGAGCTGGAGGCTCAGGGATTCCTGCCCAGCTCCTTCCTGACTGTCTGGAATTCCATTCCCTGATGGAGTGAGAGTGTTTGTGTTACTGCAGTTGGGTGGCAGAGCTGTTGTGATTTACTCCCTGCCAGTGAAGAGGGGTGATGAGCACAGCTCCAGCCCCTCAGGCTTTCCATCCCTTGGTGTCTTTGTGTGCATCTTTCTGAACACCTGGGGAGGATTTACAGCTTTTAACAAATATTTGTAGTTAACTTGCTGATGTCATTTGCTTCTCAAATATTTGGGAACTTTTAAAGAGCAGGAAGCCCTTCAGGAATGTGTCTCTGTCACCTCTGGCACAGGTTTGACACACTAAGTTTGATATCAGGTTTGGTATGTGAAGAGCATCTTGTAAATGATATATTAATATAATGTATGTAAATATATTATGTAAATATTTTCAGTGGCTGGAAATTATTATTTTTCATATTGACAGTTATTTTTTCAGAGAAAATCACTGACATGGCCAGCAAGACTGGAGACCCTTGTAAGGTTTTGTCAAATCTCCACCTCGGTGGACACTGAGGTGTGAAGGGAAGTTGTTTTAGTGGAGTTCTGACTGAACAAGTTGGGCAGTGATTTGTTATCCCAAAGTCACCGAACCCCGGGATGGCTGGGGTTGGAATGGACCTGTAAGACCATGTGATACCGTCTGGTGGTTAAAAACGGGAAGGTTTATCCCGAGGGAATTGTCCTGCTCTTCCCCTGGCAGGGTGGAAGGACTGATGGACTCGTACACTCAGGGATTCGAAAGGTCTTACACTGTCAACAGCAGCATCCTCCACGGGATCGAGCCTCGGCTCAAGGACTTCCACCAGCTGCTGCTCAGCCCACCCAAGGTAGGCCTGGCCTGGCTCCTGCTCAGGGAGTTCCCTGTCCTTGCACACAGATCTCCTGGGCACTGCCAGGAGCAGGAGGCTGCCACAGACAGAGGGCTTGGGGAGGAAAATCCACGCTCCAGTGTGGTAGTTCAGGGGTTCAGGGATGAGGCAGGAGGAACCTGAGAGCTGTTGTGTTCAGGGAAATCCAGGAAGTACAGACACATGGGACTGGGGGATTGAGGGAGGGTGGTGAAGAGGAGGGAACTTTGAATTAGTGGATATTTGGGTTTTAATCTTCAGATTTGGAAGTCAAAGTCTCCCAGTGGTCACAGGACTGGGAGGGTGGTTTAGGTTTCCCTGCAGGGAACATTCCTGAAAGGAACTGGTTCTGTGAAATCCCAGGATAGTCAGGGTTGGAAGGGCTCTCTGGAGACCATTCAGTCCAACCCCCCTGCCCAGGCAGGTGACACAGGAACAAGTCCAGGTGGGTTTGGAATGTCTCTGGAGAGGGAGACTCCACCCCCTCCCTGGGCAGCTGTTCCAGGCTCTGCCACCTCCGTGGGAAGTTCTTCCTGCTGTCGAGGTGGAACCTGTGGTTTAATTTCTGGCTGTTGCTCCTGCTCCTGTCCCTGGGCCCCCTGGGGAGCACCCCCCCTGTTGTGTGTGTGCCCTGAGGGGTGCTGGGGTGAGCTGACCCTGCCCTGTTCCCCCAGAAATCGGCGATCCTGACCACGATCGGGGTGCTGGAGGAGCCGCTGGGGAACGCGCGGCTCCACGGCTCCCGGCTCATCGCGGCGCTGCTGCACACCAACACTCCCAGTATTAATCAGGAACTATGCAGGCTCAGTACCATGGATTTATTACTTGTGAGTATCCCAGCGGGGCACCGGCAGCGGGGAGAGGGGAAGGACGTCCCGCTGGGAGCAGTTTTGCTTTCCCTTTCATCTCTTCTGAGCCTAATTACTGCTCTAATCTGCTGCGGGAGCATCCAGGCCTGGAACAGCCCTGTAACCCACAGCCAATTGTTTGGCATTTGGAACTGAGCCTCACACTTCACATTTCTGGTTAATGCAGTGGAGGGTGTGT